CTCCTCCTCCTCCTCCTCCTTCTTCTATGGTGTTGTTTGCTCCTTCTTTTTTATTTTAAAAATGTTAATGTCTATTGTCCTTCTTTCTCCTCCTTTCCTGTGTATGTTACTCTTGAGTATCACCTTTACTCTTCGGTATTTACATGACCTTTTTGTTCTACAAGTACTGCAAGAGTGAGCTTTCATTACTAAGAGACACTTGAAAACAAAAGTTTGTGAATGTGACCTTTATTACACACCTACTTCTCGGCAACTAGTCATTATATAATTTGTGAAGTGCACTTATTCTGCTTAATGTTAACTCTTTCTTTTCCTGAATGTTTTTCATGTTGCATGTAACATTCCATTATGTACTTTCTTGTAAACATTCCAAAATTTATCTAATGCGTGTCTTTGAAACTCATGCCATAGATTTATGTTGCCTTAAGATGTTCTAGAGTTTATCTTTACCTATTGATCTAATTGTTTGTTCTGCTGGTATTTCTATGCGAAGTAAAACTACAGCTATTCTTTCAGAGGTCTTCACTTTTTTATCGATTGTTTCAATTTGAGTAGCTGTTGTTGAACCTGGTATAATAGAGAGGCTCATGGTGTCTGTTGTTTTTTTTGGGTGTTTTTTTGTTTTTTTGGTTTTGTTGTTTTTTGTGGGTTTTTTGTGGGGTTTTTTTGTTTTTTTGTCATTGTTTTGTTTGGGTTTTTTTGGGGGGTTTTTTTGGGTTTTTTTTTGGGGGGGGGGGTGTTTTGTTGTTTTTTTCAATCTGTAAAACAAAGTGGTTGGTTGGCGGGTGATCTGGTGTGATTTGCTCCCTGTTTATTTCCTGTTAAACGTCTATAAATCTTCGGCACTGATATAATCTATTTGTACTGCAATGGCAGTAAATTACCCTCTAAAAATTAAACTGAAAATGAAATGAATGAAACCGTAGAAGACCTCGGCAATTTGAGTATGATGCTGGATTAGGATGCAGACGATCCATATTCGAGACATGTGGTTTGGAGAGAATTCAAAATCTTGATTGTGGGTGATTGGGACGGATGTGATTTGTGCTTTCTTTCCCATCAGACATACCTTATTCTTCCTCCACCTTTTCTTTGAATGTTACTTTCCGAAAGCTACAATAGTCGGCACTTAAAAAAGAAACAGTTATTTAAAAAATGTAGGTGTTTTCACGTATTTGGATATTTTAAGAGGCTTTTATTTAAGCACAAGGGGGCTATCCCGAAAAAGTTTTGCCCATTGTTCAGTTTCATTAAAAGATAAGGAGAGTTTTCTCTATAACCAAACAAATATAAAGACCAATGAAACCAAACTTCTCCTTTAGGTAATGCCCAGTTTTAGTGTCTGTCAAGATTTCTGGAAACCCCCGAAAACTGGGTTAGCCCGCTTGTCCTCAAAAGTGACCAATCAGGGCCAACCAGGTCTAGAGGGATAATATAACATCCCAGCACGAAGTAAAGACCGAGATCCTCGACGAAAAAAAATTCTCCACACTCGAGAATCAAACGTGGGCCTCCTCCGTGCGGCTGCAAAGCGACTTAACACTAGAATCCAGACGCCAGTAGTCGTGTTGCTATGCCAAAAAACTCTTTCTATTGGGTTTTTTTTGCGGGGGGGGGGGGGGGGTTGTTGTTATTGTTGCTGTTGTTTGCTTGGTTAACAACCTAACAGAACGAATGAAATAATAAAATAGAAGATTTCGGCTCTCGCTGAGGCTATTGGGTTCGATTGTGGATTTTGACGCACGCAGCTCTGGTTCAAAATCTGTGGTTTGGGGATTATTGAGAACCCTAGATCGTGTCTGGTTGGCCGGTGCTCTGATGTGGTTTGCGTCTTCTTTTGGTAGTTTTAAAATCCATTGAATCACTTATCTATGGTAAGTCGACGGTAAATACCCTGAGAGATCCAGCCGTATAATATAATAATAATAATAATAATAATAATAATAATAATAATAATAATAATAATAATAATAATAATAATAATACTAGTAGTAGTAGTAGTAGTAGTAGTAGAAGTAGTAGTAGTAGTAGTAGTAGTAGTAGTAGTAGTAGTAGTAGTAGTAGTAGTAGTAGTAGTAGTAGTAGTAGTAGTAGTAGTAGTAGTAGTAGTAGTAATAGTAGTCGTAGTCGTAGTAGCAGCAGTAGTAGTAGTAGTAGTAGTAGTAGTAGTAGTAGTAGTAGTAGTAGTAGTAGTAGTAGTAGTAGTAGTAGTAGTAGTAGTAGTAGTAGTAGTAGTAATAAATGGCCTAATAATAATATTAATAACAACAACTATAATAGTAACAACCACTATAATAATGATAATAATAATGGGGAAAAAATTATGACAACAATAATAAAAATAATGATGATTATAGTAATAATAATAATAATGATAATAACAATAATAATAATAATAATAACAATTATAATTATTATAATAATAATATAATAATGGCAATGAGAAGAAGAAGAAGAAGAAGAAGAAGAAGAAGAAGAAGAAGAAGAAGAAGAAGAAGAAGAAGAAGAAGAAGAAGAAGAAGAAGAAGAAGAAGAAGAAGAAGAAGAAGAAGAAGAAGAAGAAGAAGAAGAAGAAGAAGAAGAAAAAGAAGAAGAAGAAGAAGAAGAAGAAGAATGACGATGACAAAAACAACAACAACAACAACAACAACAACAACAACAACAACAACAACAACAACAACAACACTACTACTACTACTACTACTACTACTACTACTACTACTACTACTACTACTACTACTACTACTACTACTAATAATAATAATAATAATAATAATAATAATAATAATAATAATAATAATACAGCATGCTCTGTATGTTTTGCCACTGTTATTACCCAAGGTGACGCATTCAGAAACATTCTCGGCTTGGAAGCAAGCAGAGCAAGTTGAGGATTGCACGCGATCAAACACTCACAAGACTTTTTAATGTCTATAGCCTGGTATCCATTTCTACCTGGGTGAAGTGAGGGAATTATCTTGTAAAGTGCCTTTTACAAGGACACATAGTCAGGGCCGTGGTAGGATTCGAACACACCACCATACGAAAGCAAGTCCGAGAGCCTAATCACTCGGCCACCGATGTCGACCACGTTTAACTCCAGCGTTGCTGGGGACTTATCCATCTTAGTTTTCACAGATAATGTAACATGTTCATGAAGAGAGATTTTCATTACAGCCATAGTGCACGTCCCCTTAATTTGTAATTATTAAACAATACAGGTCGATGCTATTTCTTCTAAAATTTCCTCAACAGAACAGTAGAAGGTGTTTCGGAGAACACACAAGTGAAAAGATTTAATAAGCTTAAGTGGTCTTTATGCGGTTCGGTTGTGAACCAAGTGACTCATCAAATACAGGGAAATTATGAACTGTCGGTGATAATATGTATGTGTTTATTTTGTCTGCCTTCAACGTTACGAAATGTTAGGAAAAAAATCAGGTGGGTGATTTTGCAATACCAGAAAAACGTCATGCTGTCGGCCGAGCATTACTGTTTGGTCCAGGGTCGAATCTTTTTGTTGAAGTATGTGAGAAGGATTTTGCAAGCAAGTGATCCATCATGCTTCAAGGCCTGTTACTGTTTGGTTTACGGTCAAATCTTGATGTCGAAGTATGTGAGAAAGGTTTTGCAAGGGTTTGGCAATACACGTTTACAGTCATGCCGTCATCAGGGCATAACTGTACGGTCCAGGGTCGAATCTTGATATCAAAATATGTGAGGAGGATATGTGGGGCCATGGTGCGACGCCCATTACTGCGGAAACCAGGGTCGAATCTTGATGTCGAAGTATGTGAAACGGGTGCTGAATCCCCAGCTGGCCTGGGCCGGAGAGTAGCCCTTCCAGTCGCCGTTTGGGTTGATGGACGTGCAGGAGTTGTGCCACCAGGCTCCGTGGTACAGGTCCTGCAGAACAGGTTTGAGGGGGGAGGGATGAGGGAAGGAAAGGGGGGGGGTATAGACTTTTAGTAAGCTTATTTATCTATTAGAGAACACACATCAAAACAAATGCAGATACACACATACACACGCATACACGAAACTCAATCACAAACACACACACACACACACACACACACACACACACACACACACACACACACACACACACACAAACACGCACTCTCTCTCTTTCTCTCTCTCTCTCTCTCTAGATAGATAGATAGATAGATAGATAGATAGATAGATAGATAGATAGATAGATAGATAGATAGATAGATAGATAGATAGATAGATAGATAGATAGATATAGAGTCGAACCTGCCGTAACGGCCACTAGTCCTAGACAATCACTTATACAGAAGGCCACTTTATAATAATAATAAATAATAAATAATAAATAGCATTTGTACAGTGCATATCCCCGCTCAACAGTAGGCTCTATGCGCTTTACACTATATTATTACCCCAACAGACCATAGAACACTCCGAAACATTCTCAGCTTCCCGGGAAGCATACAACGCAAGGCTTCCCGGGAAGCATACAACGCAAGCTGCTGATTAAGCGCTCAAACATTAACAAACTAACAAGATATTTCGCTGTCTATAGCCGGGTATCCATTCCCACCTGGGTGAAGTGAGGAAAATTCGTGTAAAGTGCCTTTCCCAAGGACTCAACCTCGGGCCCCTGACGAAATTCGAACCCACAACCTTACGGTTGCGAGTTCGAGAGCCTAACCACTAGGCCACCACTTGCCACTTCCTTCTTTGCTGTTGTTTTTTTCTCTAAATGAAAATGACATTGTACAAGACGTCCAGTTGTCGAAGACAATCACTTTTCTCCTTGCCAATCGGTGACCGACTTTGATAGTTTTAATTATCTGTTATCTATTTGTGGTGGCCGAATTTTGCTATTCAAAAGGCTTTTTAGTGGCTGCATCGATCGACGTACGGTTTTCCAGTAGAGTGTAAATATAGTAGGCCAATTACTTTTAGTTGATATTAAAGCACCGATCATTCCTTTCATCGAAAGGGGGCCCAGCTAGTTTGGTATAAATACCACGCCAAGAGGACAATGGAATAGAAAAAACAATTTTACCCTCTATTATTCACCAAACAATATTTTTTTCCTTAACAATGGAAAAGCCAGAGGCTCCTGAGTACTGATAGGTCTATTATGATTATTTTCTTTTCATGGTAATCGATACCAAATCTTCATATTATTCCCTCTCCACGTTCAACAGGCTCGAGGCTGTCATTTATAACACACATCTTCCCTTTCCTGGTGAGAAACTCCTCCATAGCTCTTGGTAGTGACAGCAAAGACGCTCAGAATGAAGCTCAAACCGAAACATTAGCACAGCCTTCACGGTGAATAGAAATTGCTCTCAGTGTGTTGTCGCTCATTATTATTGATCTAATCTTGTAAAAGTCTCAACTGCTGTGAGAAGAAGTGTTTAGGAAACCAGCTTTTCTTTGTTTTGTTTTGTTTTCAAAAAAATAGTTTACTATTGTTGTGACACATCTTTGTGGCATCAGCGAAAAGAATATATTTTACCTCACTACAGACATTCCCGCTCACGCTAACAATAAACAATAATTTTACGAAGTCATGGATGTGTAAGAGAAAGCATTCTCTCTCTCTCTCTCTCTCTCTCTCTCTCTCTCTCTCTCTCTCTCTCTCTCTCTCTAT